CTAATATTTTGCAAACGCAGAGGACTCGGATCCGTTAGTGACGCACTGCCAGGTCATGGTGGAAGCAGAGACAATTGTGGCATTGGTGGCTGCGCAAATAGTGGAAAGAAGCTACGTAAAGCGAGAACAGCGTTTACAGACCATCAATTAAATGAGTTAGAGCAGATGTTTGAAGAGCAGAAGTATCTTAGCGTACAGAACCGTATGGAATTGGCGACAAAGCTAGGCCTGACGGATACGCAAGTGAAGACATGGTACCAAAACAGAAGGTGAGTTAAAGAGATCAAAAAAATTACACACTTACTTGCTAAGTTAGCATATTTCTAACAAATTATTTGTTCTCGGGGCCAGTGAGTTGGCTTATCTATTTCTCAAGATTACACTGGCCAAACATCTGTAAACTTGCGACTGTGAGTTCAGAAACTATTAGAAAATTTAGTAGCCACTCAGCTATATAAAAACCCAATACATATTTTGAGGGACGGGCCACAATTAGATTCATCTATAAAGGTCAGAAGGTAGGTATATACATGAGATTTATAATTGAGGGAATGTATACTCTATTACTGTCAAGGATCTCTTAGTTAGTCAGAAGCAAGTTAAACCCACTTGGCTTGTCAACTTATTACGTATCATATAAGCCCAAGACTCAATATGGACTCACTGGGTTAGGAGAAATATTCGTCGAGAATATACTATTTATTCTAGTAGGGTAGGGTCACTATTATTTTTCTTAACGATATAAACCAGGGCTCGACTCATTTAGTAACAGACCTCAAAGGGATGGATCAATGAATGATTAGTTAAATAATTCAAAAGAAAAGTAATTCAATTAACGAATCCCTGATGAGTTGTTTGATTGGCATATGGACATTTTAACCAAATGATTGAGCGATAGAAAGAAAAAAAACGACGAGTCAAAAGTACGCAAATAAGGATGGATGAAATATTGGTTGGCTAAATGAAAAAAACGTTTACCTGGGTGGATTATTGAATGAAGTCATTCGGGAGACCAATGGACTAAATAATGTGGTGAGAAGCCATCTAATTAAATTAATAAAAACTGAATTAGGACCTGACTAATTTGTCAAATAGGAAATTGAATCAAGTGATTGAAATATATAGGTAAAAATGTGAGGTATCTCCAAAAATGTTATTGTGGAGGTTTTTAGTTCTAAGTTGGTGAGCTAGCGTTAAGACTATCAGCTAATTGATAATCCGCTCTTACAGACTCTGAAAGCATATCACTTTATAATAATCGCCTTGAAGGAAACGCCAAGAAACGTAGTGTTGGTTCGACCTCATTTTCACAACTTCGTTCATGGCGACCTTATGGAACGAACCTAATCCTGTGTACTCTGCCATAGTATTCGTGATTTCTAGCATCGGACCATTGACTTGGTGCATTACCATGGGGACTAGTGACACGCCCGACCCCGGAGACCAACCAACGAACACAGGAACAATAACATAGAACACTATGATTATACGTGACTGTGAATTCGAGAGATGCGAGGATGGAATTTTCACGACTCACGAGTGGAAAAAGGGAAGCAGTGCATTTTCATAACAGCGGTTATGAATTAAGACAGACACATGACCTCCAATGAGGGTAGGGATGAGAAAGAGGTTAGCTGAGTCATAGGTCTGAAATCTAAGAAGAGTAAGATTCCTAGGCTTTGGCATGGGCTCGAATATGGCGCAATCGGGGAAGGAAATTGAAGGCTCTTAGGCAGCAAGCTTTCAAATAGACAGTGATTTTGATGTGTAGCAGCAACCAATTGACAAGTAGGCTAGAAGAAGGGGTCTGAATGACAGTCAAGAGTTCTGGAAAAGACACTTAGAACCGGTGGTGAAGATGATTATGCGTCACTGAACCCTTTCGTAGAGATACAATCTTAGACAACATTGGAGGAAACGAGAGCACATAATTGTATGAATAGGCCGACAGGACATATAAAATGGGGTTGAGAGGAAGATATGCAGTACCAGATATTAGGACAAAAATAGAGGAAAGGAATGATGTCACAACTATTAAACAGAAAATTGGTAAAGGGGATTGCCTTCATTTATCACTTTGATATGTTGTAACTCCGAGCTGATTATGGCACCTCTTAGTGACGATGCCGACGAAACACCAAAAATGGGAATATACCAAGTTAAAGGTCCGATGGCGGAAATCACAAATATTATGGCAGAGGGTAAGTTTCATAATGTCCCAATGAAGCTCCGATCAAGTAAAGCAAAGGAGGTTGAACCAACACTATGAGGTTAAAGGAGACTGCGACTGGTTGTCACATCTACTGTCAAGAAACTTAGATTAGGCGTAGATATGAAGACCAAAATGGTGTGGCTTTCTGTCTTGTTGCAGTCTCCTTTGGCTTTAAAGTGTTGATTCGACCTTGTTTTCGCAATTTGGTCGGAGCGTCCTGTGTCCTCTGCCATATTATTCGTGAATTCCAGCAATGGACCATTGGCTGAGTACATTCCCAAACGTTTCGCCGGCATCGTCAGTGAGAGGCGCCATCATAAGAACAGAAATACAAGTTACCGACTTTCTGTTCAACAGTTTTGGCATCACTACTCGCCCCTATTTTTTGCTCTACCTACCTACTTCATATGTTTCACCAACTTATTCACACAGTTCTGTGGTCCCGTTTCCTCCAATGTCGCCGAAGCTTGTGTCGCTACAAGTAGGTTTAGCGAGGCCTAATCCTCTCCACAGCAGGTACCAGGTGACGTTTGCAGGGCTCCTGACCTGTATTCCTTCCCCTTTTTTCCTAACAGCTTATCACTTGGCCACTGCTAAACAGTAAAATCAATGTAGATACGAATACAAAGATGTTGTGGCCTCTATTTTGGTCGCAGTTTATTTCGATGCATAATAGTCATTTGACCTTGTTTTCGCAACTCGGTGATATTGGCAGGAAGACATTGGAGAACGCATCTTGTCCGGAGTCCATAATATGCATGATAATCTCCAGATTCGGACCGTGGACTTGGTACATTCCTAGGTGTTTCGGCGGCATCGACTTTATTAGATGCGGAGGTCATTCGCCCTACTGGGACACTCAAGGAGAAATAGAACCGAAATATTAATAAAATTCGAGCCTCATCATAACTACTAAATGAAGATAGGAATATTGAGGAGCATGATCATTATAAGCATACGACTAACTGATGTGTAATTCTGGGATGAAGAATAGGAAAAATTGACTCAGTTATTCATCGGTAACAGGTATACAAGAGAAGTAGTACAAATAAATATACTAGCCGTGAAGAGCTGAGGGCAGGACTGTGATTATGATAGAAAGGTAAAGATGGTGAAACGCTCACAAAAGTGGATATTTCTGCCCTCCTGCGAATTAGCCCAAGAACTACCACCAATATTAAGAAAGTGGAATATTTAGGTGATCACGAACTAAAAAAACAACATTCTTCAAAAGTCTACCCACGCAACATGAGAAGCTATACAAATTGGATTGCCCGAGAGCTTACTGCATTGAATTGGCGAAACTGGGAGAAAAATCAGCATACGAATCAAGGAAAATCAAAGGCTCTGCAGGAAAATGGATAATGAAAGATCCGATATAATGGAACTCATCGCAAAGACTGGACACGATATCACTTGGAAGGCAACAGAAAGAAGGGCCCCATATAAGGAAAGCACCAAGAAACGGAAGATTAAGGAGGTCATTGACATTCTTGGGGAAACAATGTAATGAACAGGAGATTGGAAGAAGGCAGAGTTAGTGGTAACTTTGCCTATTGCCTAATCAAACTAGAAGAAAACAAGGATACAACAAGATAAACCAAAAGGAGATGCCTGGATCAAGGACCTATCGTAAACCAGAGGAAAAGGGATCTCAAGGAAGAAGAGGGGGAGGAAGTTTCGGAATTAAATCGAAGACGGTTTCAGTGAGTGCAATCAGCTCGAATAAACAATTACAACTTTTGAGGCCTGACTTCTCACATGACTAGGAAGAGAGAATGGTCACAGAAATAGGGACTTATGACCAAATTGACTAATAATCCACTTGAGCTGCAGTGGGAGGCAAGAGACAGATGTCCACAGTTTGCTCAGGGTACACGGATTTAATCAAGAAGATAGTGAGGGAAAGCAATGCCTAATATCCGCAGGCATGGGACTCAGAGCCTAGGCGCTCTGTAGATGAGGCGAAATTGTACTTGCTACTGAAGTCTTGAGAAATAGAGCTTGGAGTAAAACGTACACTTGGGTTGGAACCGAGAGAAATCGGTCAACCAGAAAGGTAGGAAACGGATCTAAGAGCCCATGAGATAGATCCAGACAGGAGGCCAAATTCGGATAAGCCAATCTAAGGGAGAGAGTGGAATATAAACATATCAGAAGTTGGGATAGGACAAGGGCGAGACAAGAGGGTTAAAAATAGATATAGGGGCCAGGGCAGGAAGCGGAGTGATAGCATAACCGTTTAGGCAGAAGGTTGGTCACGAGAGTTACTTCACTTGTCCCTTTGACGAGTATTAGTTTGGTGCTGAGAATGGCAAGGCTCACTGATGATTCCGACTACGATGCCGGTGAAACGTTTGGGAATGTACCCAAGAGTCCAGTGCTGCAAACCACGAATACTATGGCAGAGGAAACTCGTCTAGGTACGTTCCACAAGGTCTCCCTGACGCTCCGACCAAGTTGCGAAAACAAGGTCGAACCAACACTTTAGAGCTAAAGGAGACTAACCAAACAGAAGGACACACTATCTTGATATTCGTATCTACGATCTCTTAAGATAGCATTTTTAGAGAGACTTTACTTTTGTATGAAAGGGCATGATGAAGAGATTAACAGCTCTATTTCACCAGAAAATGGCAGGCAGCTTTCTTTGCAGTACAGTTGCTTGCCTTTAAGACGACGTTCAAGTTGACGCAGATACCGAGATATCCTCCCTCGTTTGGCGATAAAAATATTATGTTTTCTATAGTAATCGACAACGTTACTTATATTCGTATTAAAGTAGGGTTTCGAGACTACCAGTAAATCAGTGTGATGAGGATGTATTCACCCTATTTCGTGTAAGGTGATGAAGGACTGGTAGTAGAATTTTCCCACAATCATATGAGTATGTATTCACCCTATTTCGTGTAAGGTGATGAAGGACTGGTAGTAGAATTTTCCCACAATGATATGAGTTTTCACCCTATTTCGTGTAAGGTGATGAAGGACTGGTAGTAGAATTTTCCCACAATGATATGAGTTGAGCTGGCGTTTCCATTGAATTTA